GGCCAATCACAATGCACTGGGTCAGCTGGCCAATCAGAGCAGACTGCGCTTGTCGGAAGGAGGGACTTTGTAGAAAACGAAGCGTTTGAGAGAGGTGGGGCATATAGGACCTACAATAATGTACAGTATTTGAAAAATAATGTGTTTTTTGAACATTAAAGCATGTCAACATATTCTGTTACACCAAATGCACAAAATAATGATCTTTAAAAAAGCATCATATGACCCCTTTAAAAAGGACTCGTTTCAATGATTCAGAGTCGACTCTTTCTTTTGAGAGACAATAACTTTATACTCGGTGCGCTTTCAGATTTAAAACTTTGTAGGATGTTTTCATTCACTTAGAGCTCTGTTACACACTGCATGAAAGGTAATTTTCAAAAATCCATAATAGGGGCACTTTAACCCAAAAACGGTGTAAATATAAACCGGAATTATAACATATTTAATATAGCAGTTTACACTGTTCATGAAAAATCTCAAACTCGTAATTTCAGAAGCCCACCACACATCCATGTTGTTAGGGGTTTGTTATTTGTTTGTGAATCTGAGAATCACATCCAGGCTTTATCTCATATGATTGCGCTGTACTTGTCCACCAACTTGAAGAGTACCTCGGCCGCATGGAATTTTATTTATTCCAGACTTTTAAAATTATTTTTGATTGTTTTCTGTTTCAGGGCTCAAAGACGCTGGAGGCAGATGGGGATGGAGCTGAGGATGTGGACGACGAAGAGGAGGAGGATGGTTTGATCCAGCCAGCTCAAATCTTTGCACCCAAAAGTTTGATTCTCGTCTCCAGGCTGGATTACCCAGAAATATTTAGAGTAATTAAAAATCTGTCTCTCTGTCCATCTGTTTGTCCATTGCATTTTATGTAGTCTCTTTGTGAAACACCGCCTCTCAAAAAAAAACAAAAAACATTTTGTTCCTAATATATTTTAGTGATGTCAGGAATGTGTAGTAAAAAAAAAGCTTTATGATTTTCATTGAGTTAAAGACTTAAGATACAGAAGAGAGCAGCCAGCTAGTGACTGAGCTGTTCTTTAGCATATCATGCAGTATTATCCATTTTCTAAGTGACCAGTAACTTTAGTTATTGAGCCAAATCCAATTTTACTCGCATTTTTGATAAAAAAACATTTTGTTCCTAATATATTTTAGTGATGTCAGGAATGTGTAGTAAAAAAAAAAGCTTTATGATTTTCATTGAGTTAAAGACTTAAGATACAGAAGAGAGCAGCCAGCTAGTGACTGAGCTGTTCTTTAGCATATCATGCAGTATTATCCATTTTCTAAGTGACCAGTAACTTTAGTTATTGAGCCAAATCCAATTTTACTCGCATTTTTGATGTGAATCACATGTACATAAATAGGAATTTTCATGCATGAGATGTAGTTGGATTTAGGATAATTAAAACCATCACTGGGTTGAGAATGATATTGATCGTCAGCTTTTAAATCATTAAAGTCAAAGATTTATGTCTGCTGATGGAATAAAAACAGGGATTACAGAGACAGAGAGGAATATCACAGGAGCTCAAAAGCAGGAAATCCTCTCATACAAGTTTTATGCAGACTGCCTGTCTCAATGTTTTGTACTTTTGGCCTACATTTATGAATTTGGCATGAGCTATGCCTGGAAATAAGTTAGTTGAGCTGTATTGCTTGGTGAAAAAACAAATGTTTATGGTCACAGACCATATCCCTTAGTTTCTCATTGTACCCATTTAAGAGGGCACTTCACTTTTATGCCCTGCTAGATAGATAGATAGATAGATAGATAGATAGATAGATAGATAGATAGATAGAAATTAAATAATTTGTTCTATGAACATGATTGCTACCTTAAATTGTTAATCTTGTTGATAAGACTTGTCAGACTTATGATTTTCACTTGAGCATACAATAAAAAAATCTTTAAACTTTAATTGTAGGAGGGACCAGAATATGGACTAATTGACTGTAATCATTCACTCAGAAAACCTTAAAAATCACCTAGAACACTATTGCAACACCCTAGCAACCATGCAGAACATTGTAGCAACACCCTAGAAATCACTCACAAAACTAGCAACACCATAGCCACAACACATCACACTAGCAACACCCTAGAAACCACTCAGAAAACCTTAAAAATCACCTATGACACTATAGCAACAACCGAAGAACCACCCACAACACTGGCAACCCCATAGCAACCACACATAACACTAGCAACACCCTAGGAACCACTCAGAAATCCTTAATATCACCCAGAACATTGTAGCAACACCCCAGCAACCATCCACAACACTAGCAACACCCTAGAAACCACCCAGAAAACCCTAAATCACCCAGAACAGTATAGCAACACCACCACATTCACCCAGAACATTCTAGCAAAACCCTAGAATCCACCACTCACATTGACTCTTGATTTTTTTTGTCCAGAAGTGTTTCACGTGTGTTTGTGTGTCAGGGACTAGCTGATTGTTGTTGTTTTTTCTTCTAGGGCTGCTTGGGTCTGATCTACACCGTGTACATTGACAGTCTGAGCGTCCCTATGGAAGGGCTGGTGGCAAACCTCTTCACATGCTTGATCCCAGTGGCTGGAGGTTCCCAGGTCAGACATTACTTAACCAAAGAATTCCTCATCTGTCTCGAACCCTGACCCCTGTGGTTACTCGAGTACACAGAGGGTTAGCCAGGGTTCATTTTTGTACCTGTGTACCTTGAAGAAAGCAGGGTGTCTCATATTGCATTTTGTTTTCATGGAGACTCCCAAGAGGTAGAAAGGGCTTTAGGGGTCAGTGAGAGAAGCCCGTTGTTTTGTTTAGAGCTAAAATATTACTAAATGTAGCTCTCATGTTCTGGTTTGAGCGCCGCAGTTCTTCATTTTTGTGTCTAATTTTTATTTTTGGTGTCTGATTCTCCTAAAACAGCAGATTTATCCCTAAAAATGTATGTTTTCTCTTTAAACACGGTTTCTAAATCCACTCTTTATTGTACACTGCGCTCATATAAATCAAGCTAAATTAATAAATCAACAAATAGATATTGTTAAACGATCTATAAATTGGTTTCAAGGGAAATATATGAATGCAGACTGCAGAATTTTGCAGGCTCTCGTGTTGAAATCATGTTGTTTTTGATGTAATTCACCAACACATTTAAAAATTCCTCCAGAAACCATTATTTTTCCCAGCTGGATTGTGGCATCATGGTGATCAAACAGGGTGTAAGTTATAAACAGACCTCAGGAGAGGTATATATTCATCTTTCAGTGTGAGTCTAACTCTATCCGCTTGGAATGTGTCATGAGACTCCAGCGCGCATCTGTTCATGAAACAGTCCATGTGCATCTTATTGGCTCTGTTTAATAAACGTCTGCTGTTTCTTACAATACAAGAGCCAAGATCTACAAAAAAATAAACTTAGTAAACCTGCTAAAGTCTAGAGAGCTGTCTCACTGTTCTATTGCTTCCAGAGGGTTTATGTATATATCAAGTTATGTATATATATATATATAGCAATACAAATTATATTATTTGGTATATATAAATATATAAAATTATATATATATATATACATATATATATACAATAAAATGTATATATATTATTAGATTTTGAACTTGACAGATTCTTTAACTTCCCAGTTCACCCAATTTTGGAAACGGAGCTGCAACAACGGGTTATTTAGAACTCATCACAGTTGCCAGCACATTAAGGCTACATTCACACTGTCAGTTTTTGGGATTGACGACCGCATTCTCTTTACAGGTGTGAGTCTCGAAATGTCCCGTTCACACAGCAGCATACAGTTGTGTTTAGAATACTGTCTGTATGAACGTGCAACGGGAGTCAAGCCCGTATTTCTTACTAGTAACCATAGGGACAGTGACCAAAGTAAAATCAAAGATGGCGACATCCATAAAACTGAAAGTCTTATCACTTTCTGACACGACAAGAGTCCAAACGTGCCGCGCGTTCATTCGTCAAATCTTCGTTAACCGACAGCAGCTTTTATATTTGGGTGGAGAGCAGAGCATTTGAATCGCGTGTAGAACACAAAACTGATGGGAGCCTAGCTTGGATAAGAGCAGGGAGAGCAGCGATAACCACCCTAGGGTAAACAGAGCAGAACCAACATAAATGTATTGCAGATATCATTAATGTTCAATAATTTAATGTACACATTTTTTAAATGAGTCTAATTCAAAGGGGAATCAAAAGGCCAAATCCTGACTGGATGAGAGGAGGAGCTGGGGATGGAGGACGGCAATTAGCTATTGAGCAATGCGAAAGCTGCTGATAATACTAAAGGACCATATATATGGATGCTATGATAGGCGTCGGATCCCTATAGGTAGACATGAATCAGCTGAGAGTCAGCTGATGCGAGCTTGACTGACGTGACCTGACAGAACTAAAGCTACGCTTGATTTGTAGAAATGGACACACTTTAGTTTGGGGACCAATTCTCACTATTAACTAACTATTAACTACGACTTTTACCTCAGTTAACTCCTCATTTGTTGCTTATTAATAGAGAGCCACAAAAAAAAATGATGGATAACATTAAATAACATTAAAAATATTTAAAATAAATATACGTAGCATTCACATGCTCCTTGGATGCTCTCATTTCCCGAGTTGTGCTTCCCTTACTCTAAGGCTAATAAATGTATT